GCACAGTAGCAGTAGCAGTATTAGTACAGTGACAGTACAGTAGCAGTAACAGTAACGGTAACAGTACAGTAACAGTAACGGTGGTAACACAGTAACAGTACAGTGGCAGTAGCAGTAACAGTGCAGTACGGTACAGAGCAGTAGTAGTAGCAGTAACAGTACAGTACAGAGCAGTGGTAGCAACAGTACAGTACAATACAGAGCAGTGGTAATAGCAATAACAGTATAGTAACAGTACAGAGCGATGGTAGCAGTAATAGTATAGTAACAGAACAGAGCAGTGGTAGCAGTAATAGTATAGTAACAGTACAGTACATCATTCAGAAAATATTCATCTTTGAACATATCTTTACAACATTGTTATTCACAGAGTTCTGGGCTATAAGCAGCTAGTGCGCGCCTGGATGCCAACCCTACACAGTTTACAGGATGAACACACACTAAGTTTCACACTTGGAAATCAATGACTTAGTCCCTACTTAGACTCGGTGTGGTTCTACATTAATATCCTCATTAAGATGCCTTAAATTAAGCCTAGGAATGCCTAGGATGGAATGAGGATGCAAGGATGCACTTTAAAACACTTTTCAAAATTTTCAGAAAATAGGGGTCCCGCTCGAGCGTGGGTTTCTCAGCTCGAGCGGACATGCAGACAAAGGTCTCCGCTCGAGCGTTAATTATTCCGCTCGAGCGGACTGTAAAAGTACTGGATGTGCGAAATTCCCGCTCGAGCAGACTGCAAACCCATTCTAAGTACTGGATACACGAAATTCCCGCTCGAGCATCACTTTCCCCGCTCGAGCGGACATGCAAGACTCAGTGTTCACGCTCGAGTGTAGAGTTCCACGCTCGAGCGTGAGTCCAAATTCTGGAAAATCCAGATTGAACCTTCAAGCTCCAAATCGACTTTTGATGCATCAACATCAATCATTTTGGGCTAATTTTCTGGAAAACACTTCAAAACTCATAATATGACATGTTTCAAAGATCAATTTGAGAAATCAAAGTCCAAAGGTAGTTCAATTAAACATGATTCTGAACTAAACTTTAAGAACATAACTTCAATGTAACATGCATAAATTCAATCAACTATCAAGCTTCAAATGCTAGCTCAAATGAGCCAATTCTTCTCAAAACATGGTGAAATCATGAACTATACTCAAGACATGAACATGCATGTGGCAAATTTATGAAGAACATCTACAAAATGTAAGATTATGCCCATACATGCAAAGATTAAGCCTCAATTCAACACTATTAGACCAAATCTTGACTTTAACTCCAATATGTCAAGAACCATGCAAAAACTAACTTAAATTCACAAGTATGAGGGTGAGTCTCCTACCTTAAATCTTCAATTTCAAGTGTAGAAGCCTAAATATGCAAATTCCCTTTAAAATCTTCAAGTCCCCAAGCGAAACCAAGATGAGGCCAAGTTTTCTCTACCTCTCTCTCTCTCAATCGGTTTTGATCTCATGAAAAGGCTGAGGAAATGCTATATCAAACATATATGGGAAGTGGTGGAGTGGTTGTCTAGGATTAGCCACTCAATGGCAATTAAGTAATAAAGCCAACTAAAGTAATTCAACAATGTTTAATCTAATTTAACCGTACCAAATTACATTTTTAATTAAATATATCATAAAATTGCATAAATTCTAATTAGCATAAAACATAAATTAATTTCTGGTTCGGCCGCCAATAAGGCCTTGAATTTGCAGTTTCAACATAAAACATGATCATATAGTTAAACAGTCAACAAATAGGTATGCATTTAGACCAATACAATCAATCGATCAGTTCAGAATTCCAGTCAATCAGTCAGTTAACATGCTTAGTCATAGATTTAACACTAATCAATGGTTTAACAGTAAACAGTGGTGAGGGTTGTCACAACGCCAATGAGGAGGCCAATGATAGCAGCGGCGGCAGCAAGATAGTCCCCCCCTCTTGCTCTGACCATTTCACTATTCTCTCTCTCTCTCTTTTCTCAACCGATTGTAAATTAGAAAGAGGCATACATATTCATACACACAAGTTCAAATTTGAACATAGCAGTTTCGTTTTGGCTAGGGTTTCATTTGATCTAGAATTTGAATCACTCTTTCTCTCTCTTTTCCTCTCTCTCTTCTATTGTCTTTAGTGTTTAAAGATCTGATTCGATTGCGCCTTTCTCGTTCTTTGTATATATCTCTCCTATCTTGGCTTAAGATAGGGACCAAGAGCAGAAAAACTTGCCTAGAGATCTGTTAGGGTTAAGGGTTTTGAGTTGGATCACTCACTGGTTTTCTCTCTCTACTCCAAGTGCAGAGATTTGTTTTATTTTATTTTTTTGGTTATTGTTGATTATTATTATTGTTATTGTTGTTGTTGTTGTTGTTGATGATGATGATAATGAAATAGATTTGAACAAATTTGTGTGTGAATTTGAAGAGATTTATGTTGTTATTGTTGTTGTTAATGATGATAATGAAATAGATTGCAACAAATTTGAATTGATTTGTTAGTGAATTTGAAAAGATCTGCGTCTATACCTCGATTACCATTTGGCAATATCTATTGTTGTTATTATTGATAGACAGATAGATAAAAAGAAAATTTCTTGTTTGTTGAACAAATTTGTTCAAAAAATTGAATAGATAATATAAAAAAAAATGATAGAATTTTAGCATATAATTTAAATAGATAGAATTTTTAAAGAGATAAATTTCAACAGATAGTTTTTATTTGGACAAATATTAAACAGATAAAAATTTTGACAGACAAGAATTCCAACAGATAGATTCAATACTTAAAAAATTTCAATAGATAAAAAAATTTGAACTTTACTCAGAAAAAATTTGAACAGATAGCAACGAAAAGTCAAACAGATAAAAAAAAGTCAAGGTGTAAAATTAGAAACAAAATATTTTCTAGTACTTCTCACCAAACTATTTTATAAATGGCAGACTTCTCACCAATAAAAAAAATCTACTAGATCTAATGCTTTAGACAATTGGTAGAGTGGATTTTTTACCAATTTTCTTTTTTTTCCCTAAAAAATATTGTACTTTTTAAGTGTATTTAGATTAAGTGTATCTATAAAAAAAAATTGCGTAAAATATTAAAAAATTCACTAAAAACAAAAAAAAAAATACGAAAAATAAAAAACTCAATCTTCTAAAAAGTGAATTCAATTTTTTAGGACCAAACATGGTGATTAATTTTATTTTTCAATATTTTCAAAATTATGACTTATTTTTTTGGTATGAACTGATCATATATATATATATATATATTTTGGTAAAAGAAAAAAAAGGTTGTGTAGGCTCTGCGAGTCCCCAATTCCAAGCTAAGACATTGCTTGTGACAATATGTAAGAGCGTCACGCTGAGGGACAATGCAGGATCGAACTCGAGTGAAAACATTTTTAGGTCGATCCCTAACTATTAAACCCAGCGCATAGGGACGAATTGATTTGTGTATAAGAAGTATTTTAAAAATGATGAAAAGATTGATTTTTTTTTTTTTTTTTTTGATTTTTTAAAAAGGGAAAAATATTTTTCTTAGGGGTTTTTTTTTTTTTTTCCCGATAGACACTTGTCAGCAACCCCCTTAAATAATCATAAGATAAAAAAAGGGGAAATTATATTCTAGTGGGATATAATTTTTTTTACACAAACATACACTTTCATAATTTTCACTTACATTTCACATATTTTTATAATTTTTTTTTTCTATGTCTTTCTGTGCTGCAATTTCCCCATAAAAAAAAATTGTAATAAATATAACATTGTTACGATAATCATAAAAATAAGAAGATTGAAATAAAATAATAGCTTTACTGGAAATTCACTATACATACTTGTGTTATATGTATTTTTAAGTTATGCCATTTTTTTAATTAATTATGATTTTATTTTTATTGTAACTTATAAAATTTTTGTTTATATTTTGTGTGTTATTTGGTTACGAATTTTTTTAATTATGACTAAAAAAATATAAAATTATGTTATTTTTTTAATAAAGGAAAGTGAAGTGCGTACAACACTCCAAGGCGTACTTTAGACAAAGCCACTGTTCCCTACTCCACATCACTACCCGACAAACAATACCATCGGACCGATGATTAAGTGCAACGTGGACGATGGTCATCCTCCCATGTATCCTACTCTGATTGGCTACACGTCAAATCACACTCTCCTACCTATCATGATTGGTCCACGACTCCATATACTTACCCCATGCCCATCTCTCATCACTCTATTAAAATTATAAATAAATAAATAAACAAAAAAGAGACTCCTCCGACAATCGACACTTGTCATCTCCAAGACGCAACGCAGCTCAGAAACGTCCAGAAACCATAAAATAAAATAAAATAAAAAATGATTTCATTAAGAGAATGATATCAATTTTTTAGATTTAATTTTTAAATTTAATAATGTGTCAAAAAATAATTAGTTAATAATTAAAAAATATTTAATTATTAATTAATTATCTTCTTAATATATTATTGTTTTATTTTTATTTTTTTATATACACCTTACTTAGATGTGTTTAAATAATAAAATATTTATGAAAAAATATTTTAAAAAATCAATAAATATATAAGAATATAAAGAATATATTGATTTTTCATTTTTTTGTACTTTTAGTATTTAGTAAATTTTTAATTTTTTTATAAATATTATACTTTTTAAATACATTTATATTAAATATATTTAAAAATTAAAATATTATTTAAAATATTTAAAAAATTCAGTAAAAAAATATATTAAAAATAAAAAAAATTAAAACAAGTTAAATACTCTTTAAATAAATACTATTTTTTAATTTTTTATAAAAAAAATATGATCAAAAAAGGAAAATAAATACACTTTTTTAAACTCATGTCAAATAAGGTCCAAGTTTCTGTCCCTCTCTCTGTCTCTCTGTGGCTCTCCTTCCATTTGTGTTAAAAATTTTATTTTCTTTTTCAGAAGATCAATCAACTTTCTATTTTTGTTGAACAGGTTCAATTTTATTTTCTTTTTCAGAAGATCAATCAACTTTCTATTTTTGTTGAACAGGTTCATCTTTCTTTCATTTTTTTTTTTGTTTTTTTGTTTCTGATTTTTTCTGAATATTTTTACCATATTTTTTGAGCCTTTTTGCTGTTGAATGCCACTGGTTTCAAATGTGCTAGCTAGGGCTAGGGTTAGGGTTTTGAATTTGATACTACAACACATGTATAGATACATGTGTGTAGTGATTTGAATTTCATGATCTCAGATTTATGTAGGATTTGATTTTCGTTTTTTTGGGAAATTTTTTTTTAAAAAAAAAAGGTTCCTTATAGTCGCTGAACTTGTTATCAGTAATTTGGTATCTCTGTTGGTTCGATTCTGTGTGAGAGATCAGGAACTCCAATTGATCTAACTTATATCGATGTTTGCATGAGACATTGAGCTTGGATTAGCTTTGGAAACTGATTAGGACACTGTTACATACAAAATTTTTAGTCCAACATGAACTTCAAGAACTTCGGAAATGAGCCGCCGGAGGAGGGAGGTGCCGGCGGTGGTGGAAGGCCGCTGGGGATTTTTCCGCTGGCGAGGCAAACATCCATCTATTCATTGACTTTTGATGAGTTTCAGAGCACAATTGGTGGGAGTGGAAAAGATTTTGGGTCCATGAACATGGATGAATTGTTGAAGAACATTTGGAGGACTGAGGAGACCCAAACTGTAGGGACTACCAGTGGTTTGCAAGGGCAAGGGCAAGGGCAGGAAGGGGTTGCCCCTAATGGGCATTTGCAGAGACAAGGTTCGTTAACTTTGCCGAGGACGCTGAGTCAGAAGACTGTTGATGAGGTTTGGAGAGATTTAGCGAAAGAGTATGGTGGTGGGAAGGATGGGATTGGTGCTGTGAATTCGAATCAGCCGCAGAGACAGCCGACTTTGGGAGAGATGACTCTTGAGGAGTTCTTGGTGAGAGCTGGTGTTGTGAGGGAAGAGCTTCAATTACCTCACGGAAATCCCAATAATACTGGTTTTTTCGGGGATTTATCACGCCCCAATAACAATACAGCTCTGGGTTTTGCATTTCAACAAATGGGTCAGAACACAGGATTGATGGGTAATAGGATACCTGAGAGTAATAATCAAAATACCATACAGTCTGCTAATTTACCATTGAATGTTAATGGGGTTAGATCAACACAGCAGCAGCAGCAGCAGCAGCAGCAACAACGAGGACAACAACAGCAACAGCTTTTTCCCAAGCAACCAAATATGGGTTATGCCAATCCCATGTCTATACCAAGTAGTACTCAGATGAGTAGCCCTGGATTTAGGGGCGGGATTGTTGGAATTGCGGATTCGACGATTACTAATAACTTGGTTCAGAGTGCTGCACTGCAGGGTGGAGGGATGGGGATGATGGGTTTGGGAGCTGGTGCTGTTACTGTTGCAACAGGTTCTCCAGCATTTTCTTCAGATGGGCTTGGGAAGAGTAATGGAGATACATCTTCTGTTTCACCGGTTCCTTATGTGTTTAATGGAGGTTTACGGGGAAGAAAATCTAGTCATGCTGTGGAGAAGGTTGTTGAGAGGAGACAGAGAAGAATGATTAAGAACAGAGAATCAGCTGCAAGATCACGGGCTCGTAAACAGGTGAATTGTCTTACTATATTCATCAGGCTCTCCTTTTGATGTATTAATTTGAATATTAGCATGCTGGTCTTAGTTTTTGTGCACATAAGGAAATTCCTCCTCATTTAATAGTAATGGCACCAAACACATCCAATTCTTCCAAAATTAGACCATTGTTTGAGACCATTATGAATCACTAGTTCAACTATGATACTCTTGCTTTGTTAATGAAACTCATTGAAATTGCATGGTAATTGGGATTCATCTTAATCTTTCCGACCAGTATGTTGTGTCCATGAGTTTGTCCATAAACATCCTATATTTGTCCTTGAACGACTTGATGATTGTTTCTTGCAGGACAACATGATAAATAATACATTAGTTGTGGGCATGGAGCCCCTACAAGTTAGATGTAACTGCAAAAGGAAAATAGCTATTATTTGTGTAGCTTCTATTTGTGATGCCCTATTTAAGGCTCTTACGAATAAAAATGGTAGTTCTGGAGAAAATTTAGGCTAAAAATGAATCTTTGATAAAGTAGCGCGACCATATTTTAGTGATATAAATTCCATGACAACTGCAAAATTGGGCTCTGAGCTTATGATGCATGTGCAATATGATAAAATTCAAGAGTTCTAGGTTTGTGGCAGCAATCTTCATTTTATTTAGCATCTTCTGTTTCTAGATTGTTAGTTGCTTGCTTCTGTTGGAAGAAAGGGTGTAAAGAAACCAACAAAGGAAAATAATGACAAATTTTGTCTTCTTTTGTGGTTTTATGAGTTTGGCTATCGTTAACATTCTGCTTTTATCATCCATGGACATGCTGCACCACAATTCATGAAAGAATGGATGGATATCTTATGCGGCAGAATGGTAATGTCATAGCGATCTGATATGACCAGAGATGAAAGATTAGGAGAGGCTACTTCCATGAAAAGTTTAAGGATCTCATTCATTAAAAGGTAATGGATATATGCCTAAAGGAACATAACATTACTTGTACCACCTAAATTTGGTGTGACATTGAATAAGCTTAGACTGTGACTTCAGTTTTGCTTTTTAAGTATACAGAGCACTGGGGACCTAAAACAACAATACTTTATTTTAAGAATGCCATCAATAATGTTGTGTTGTTCAGAATAAATGTTTTTAATAAATAATGGTTCCCTTGGATTTTTGCCAGGCCTATACGATGGAGTTGGAAGCAGAAGTTGCAAAACTGAAAGAGGAAAACCAAGAATTGCGCAAGAAACAGGTATGTCTTGATATACCTTTTCTTTTCCCTTTCTTTGTCAGTGTGTGCACACTGCCACATGCATGCATGCTGACTGGGCATGTGATTGTATGTATTTTTGTTATTGGGGAAATTACAATTCAGTGGTAGCTTCTGTAATTTTTTTCTCTCAAACTTCCACTTTATTGTATTTCTCCTTTTTTATTCAAAGATGAACATAACAATCATCAACTTTGTTGCAGGAGGAAATAATGGAATTGCAGAAAAATCAGGTACACTAAACATGTCTTTTTTAAATGATAAATTGATGACTTTCTTATGTGTGACCCTCTAGCTTCACACACATGCATTCTTATCGTCTCTCTCCACATCAACCATCCATGCCGGCATATTATTTGATTACGCAATTGCATAGCTTCTGTCCCTTTCTTATGTGTTTCTCAATTCCATACCATTTTGTACTTTAAAACATGGCATATCCTATTTCTATTAGTTTCTTCCTACTGTCAGTGATAATTGACATCATGGGTACTCTTACTTCATTAACCCATTCTTACTTTTATGGACAGCACAATTTTCAGTCTCCACTTGGTTATGAAAGATTAACAAAGACAACAAATTGGTTGATTGTTTTACATTTTTACGCAAGTTTCACTATTCTCATGTTTTCATTGCAAGTCTTGCTAAAGTTGCAGTATTTAGTTTGTTTTGACCTGCTGATTCTGAAACCTTCAAACTTCAAAGCATTTCATGATGGTTTTAACTTAGAATTTACCTTTGCTCTTGCAGTCAATTTCTTGTGCATCATTAACACCACCATATGCCACATGAGGCCTTTTTCAGTATATGTTGTTGAGGTTATATATAAACAATGCATTGAGAGAAAATGAATTGTGTCCGCTACTTGTTTAATGTAAACTCTTCAGCATACTTATCTACTGATAATAAAGTTATAATTCATGCTCATTTAAGCCCTTCATACTCTTTTTCCTTTTTCCTTTTTCCTTTTTCCTTTTTTTTTTTTTTTTTTCTGTGGATTTGCTTACTCTGTGTGTTCATTGCTTTATAGAATGCAATATTGTCCGAGCAAAGGTCACAGATATTCATTTAAAAATAACATCATTTGGATAGTGAAAGGTAGAATGACTGGTTTTGCATTTGTATCTACTCTGTATTCTTCGCTTGAGCCAGTAAATGCTTGTGAAGCCTATATATGCTGATGGGAGTTGGTGACATAGTCATTTGAATTTCACTAAACTTTAGAAAATCTCACAAGGCTTGTGTTATTGTGGAGTGGATTTTGGTAGATAAATAGAGTAATTGCTAGAAAGTAGGCCTAATGTTATGATGGAGATTGATTATGAATTTCAAAGCTAAATTATTTATGTCAATTCGAACTCACTCACTACGTGTCATCGTACCATTGAGCATCAGCATTTGTCTTTTGAGAGATTTATGGTGAAAATGGATATTTTCTTTCTTTCGTTTTTTGGGATAATTATCAATGGATATTTTCTATTAAGGACGATGCTTTTGGTTTGGACACATTCACAGCTCTACTTGCCCTTCTACCACTTTTCACTTCCTCTCTTTGATAGGACAATACCAAAAATTAATTATGCTTGCATTCAATAAATGTTGTAAATAGTGGAAAATGCAACTTCAAGTGATTCTTCAATTTATTTGTTTTATTTACTTATTTTAACGCTGCAGGTCTTGGAGATGATGAACATGCAGCAGGGAGGAAAGAAACGATGCCTGAGGCGAACACAGACTGGGCCATGGTGAAGGGCCGTGATTATGCTTTGATCATTCAAATTTAATAATGTGCATCGTATGTGGCTGTACATATTTATGAGAAGCATATTTTGTGCTTGTAGATCAAAAGGATGAGAGTTGTGTTTTGTTGTAGCTTAATGCTTTCGCTGTCCATAGACTTTTTTTGCTTTTTCTATGAACATCATAGTTAGAAGGGAGCAAAACGCATGTTTTAGGTAATTTGATATATGTTTCAGAATACACCCGGTTCGTTATCAGTAAAAAACACTTGTGTTTCCTGTATTTTGCTTGGGGTGCCTATGTATGGAAATTTAAGCGTAGATCAGTCCAACAGGACAGATCTGTTATATTCCATAACAGGACATGATATGGACGGAAAATACTTTTTGGTACTTTTTGATTCAAATGCTGAAGCTTCCACTTCTGGCCAATTGAAGATGCTCAAGTTTACTTTAATTTTTTAGTTATTGCCAAATTGGGCATATACTTTGTGTGGAGGGTACATATGACATAACAGGCAATCGCTAATGATTGTTAGGCAATATCCAATTGGGGAAAATTTTAAATTTTGGGCATAAAAAGGTCAGGGATCTTTTTTGGCCTCCCAAAGAAAATTATTTGGTGGTACGAGATTAATACATCAGATTTGATATGACCAATTATTATTTGTCAAATTATAAATTTAAGGGAAATTATAAAAAAAAATTCAGGGTCTAGCGTGTTTTTCAAATTAAATCTTATAGTTTTAATTTGAACAAATTAAATTTTGGAGTTTCTTCCATGTTTTAACGTGAACCCTTAGTCTATATCCGTTTAATTGAACTAACGGAATTTGGGCAAAATTCTCACATTCAAGCACACATGTGTAAACACTTGTATCTCCCTCGTTGTAATTCCGTTTCGCTTCATTTTTGCGTCGTTGGATTCACCTCATTGCCTAGTTTTCATTCCATTCCTCATACGCCTTGTTCCACCTCTTTTTATGTGCCATTGGAGCTCTGAAAGTTGAAAAAAAAAAAAAATTTCTCCCTTTGGGCATAATTTTCAAATTCAAACACACATGTTCAAGCACTTGTATCTCCTTCGTCGTAATTCCGTTTTCCCTCATTTTTGTTTCTTTGAATTCACCTCATAGCCTAGTTTTCTTTCCACCCCTAATATGCCTTGTTCTACCTCTTTTTGCATACTGTCGAAGTTCCAAAATTTGGCTAAAAATAAGATTTTTCTTTCTTTGGGCAAAACTTCATATTCAAACCCACATATTCAAACACTTGTATCTCCTTCATCGTTATTCCGTTTCGCCTCATTTTTGCTTTGTTGGACTCACCTCATGGTCTAATTTTCATTTCACCCATCATGCGCCTTATTCCACATCTTTTTGTATGTCGTCAAGCTCCAAAAGTTGACAAAAAATAATTTTTTTTTCCTCCTCTATTTTCTATCTCCATGCTTCTTCCTTCCTACTTTTTTTCCACAATTATTCTCTTTTTTCCTTTTCCTTCATGGCCCTTCCACCAAGCTCGTGGTGGCCACCGAACCTTCGATGGTGGCAGTGTTGTTGAGTATGAATGTATATGACTTACAAGAATGGAAAGAAACATAAGAGTGGGGGAAGGGCCATGAAGGAAGAGGAAAAGAGAGAATAATTGTGGAAATGAAGGAGGAAGGAAGAAGTATGGACATATAAGATAGAGGGGGAAAAAAAAAGACAGAAATTTTATTTTTAGCCAACTTTCAGAATTCTGACAACACGCAAAAAGAAGTGGAACAAGACGTATTAGGGGTGGAAAGAAAATTAGGCTATGAGGTGAATCCAACGACGCAAAAATAAGGCAAAACGGAATTACGACGAAGGAGATACAAGTGTTTAAATGTGTGTTTGAATCTAAAAATTTTGCCCAAAGAGAGAAAAATCTTATTTTTGGCTAACTTTCGAAGTTCCAATGGCACACAAAAAGAGGTGAAACAAGACGTATGAGGGATGGGATGAAAACTAGGCAATGAGGTGAATCCAACGACGCAAAAATGAGACGAAATAGAGTTACGATGAAAGAGGAACAAGTGTTTGAACATGTGTGCTTGAATCTAAGAATTTTGCCCAGATTCTGTTAGTTCAATCAAACGGATATATATAGAAGGTTCACATTGAAACACGAAAAAAACTCCAAAGTATAATTTGTCAAAATTAAAACTATAGAGTTTAATTTGAAAAACACGCAAAATCTTGAAATTTTTTTTGTAATTTCCCCTAAATTTAAACTCCAGAATCCTGCTTCTTTACTTACTAAAAATGAAAGTTTCAATGAAGTAAAATCTTGAATCTTATTGTTTGGGAACATACTTATTTAGAATGTTTACAATTTTCTTTTATCTTATTTGAGTTATATCACTTTCTTACTATTTTTTTACACAACTTTTCATTAAAAGTTAAAAAATTATTAAAACAATCTATATTCTCAAATCAAGGACGTACTAAGAAAGCAAGCAGCTGATTACAACTCACATCATTGTAAGAATTTCAACAAACTGTTACTTGTCAATCAATAACTTGGCCATTTGGGTCACAAGTTAGCTGAAGTTTATTCACAATTACTGAGCACCATTAGGTAACAAGTTCTAATGCAGATGTGCAGGCATGATTACCAAAGCACCAGCTCTACTACTATTTGCAAGAACTCCAAGGTTTACACAGTTTCAATCTAAGAAACAATTGTTCAACGAGAACGCCATACCCACCTGAATCATTATGATGACATTCATAACAAAATATCGATATTAGCTTTTCAAAATTCAAGGGACTCAAAACGCCATGAATTCAAAAATAACAAAAACCACATAATCCGAACACCATAATACTTTGCAGATCTACTACC